GGCTCCCCGAGCTTCCTCAACGGCTCCACGGCCACCTCGCCCTTCGCTAGTGAGTGTCCCCCGCCTGCGGGGGGTTGAAGGGACCTGGGACCAAGGGAAGCAGAATGGGGCGCAACCCTGGCCCCAGCTCATCTCGGGGGCGGGCTTGCGGCGCGTGCCCCTTGAGGGTCGACCCCGGCCTTGCCCCCCGGAGCAAGCTCAGCCCTCCGGGCGTGTGACCTCTCCCTGCCGTTGGACCTTAACCCACCCCTCGACTACCCATCCCGGGGTCCTGGGGCCAGAGTACTACTTGCGCCTTTAGCTCTCTTTGCTGATCCCAGTCGTACACACCGCTTCTAGCCCTCCCGCCCTCCTGACACCGGCTTTAACTTGGAGGACATCTGGCTGAAGCCTGGTGGGCCGCCACCTTTCCGTCCTACACCGGGACTTCGGGAGGAGGCTGGCGCCCCCTGCCGGAAACCTAAGGAAACTCGGGGCTCCAGAGAAGCGGGCTTCTTCCACGCCCCCCGGGAGTCGGAGGCGCCGGAGGGCGGTGGGAGGATGTGGCTCCCTGCGGTTGGGCGGGCAGAGCGAGAGAATTCCGCGTGGTCAGAGCTGGATTCAGAGGCTGAGTGTTAGATCAGGAGCTGTCCGACATTCAGCAAGTGACTTCACTTGTTTGAACTTTAGTTTTTTCTCGGTAAAATAGGGCCAATACCACACCCCCTGCCTAAGATTGTGCTCAGATCTGAATGTGCCACTGTCCATAAAGGGCCCAGACAAAACTCAGGAGGAGCCTATGGTTTCGCAGTCCCAGCCCTGATTATAGGCGCCATCCAAGCTGTTCCGCTTCTTGGAGAGGGGCAGCTCAGAGCTGGGCAGGTGGGCAGCAGGGTTTTATGCTTTACCATTTTACTCTACCTTCAAGTCCCTCGTCACATCAAGTCCCAGACCAGCATATTCACAGCTCATTTTAGCTTCATTTTTCAGCATTTTTAAAGCGCCTACTGTGTGCAAAACTCTAGGCTTGGGGGATAATTCCACCCCTGCTCACCTGCAAGGAACCTCCCTAACGATCATAAAAAGTATTGTCCCTGAAAGTCCTGGGAGAGCGTCTGAGTGGGAGAAATGGCGGAGGCTGCTCAAAAAGAAGATGGTTGTGGGTCGGCCCGGTGGCGCACTGGAGAGTGCGCCGGTTGGGAGCGTGGCGGTGCTCCTGCCGAGGGTTCGGATCCCATGTGGAGACCGGTTCCGCTCACTGGCTGAGCGCGGTACGGGCAAAAAAACCGAGGGTTGCGATCCCGTTGCCGGTCCCCGGTACGGGCGCGACACCGAGGGTTGCGATCCCGTTGCCGGTCCCCGGTACGGGCGCGACACCGAGGGTTGCGATCCCGTTACGTCAGTAAAAAAAGACAAAAAGGAAAAAAAAAAGAAGATGGTTGTAGCTTTGCCTGGGATGCCTCATCTCTCCCTGTCCTAAGTTTACTGTTGCTGAGGACTGAACTAACAGGCCACCTGCCTAGCCGTCCTTGCCAGTGTCCTGTGTCCTGGGTGCTGCTCTTTCTGGCTGTGAGTTTGAGCCTGGCACCTGCTCTTGGCATTGACTCGATTTCTGGGACCCAAGGCCCTGTAAGCCAGGGTCCAAATAGGCCATGGCCCTCTGGTGTCCCTCTCAAAGCCTGTCTCTTTGGCCCTTTGCTAAAGCTAGGCTCTGCTGCTCCTGCTTCCCTTCAGTTCTGGGACAGTACCCTCACAACCTCTCTCTGGGTGCCCCTTGGATTTGAACCTTTCCCCCTGGGCCTATGTAGGTGGGGTCTGAAACACCAGCCCCTCCCCTCCCACACATAGTAGAGCCAACAGCGGTGAAACACACTGCCTGGTGTGCAGAAACAGCCCACCTGGGGTCTCCCCATTCAGCAAGATCAAGAATTCTAGAGCTAATGCTTCCAGCATTAGCTGGGAACACAGCCTTAAAGCGGAAGCCATACAAAACACTCTGAGAAGTTTTTCTTTCTTTCATCATGGTTTCTCCCCCTCATGAACTCCATAGGTCTCTCCTCCTCTTCCCGTGAGCTCCAGTAGCCCCAGAGTGGCTGTTGTTACATTTTTATAGTTGTAAATTGGTTGATTTTTGTGAGAGAGTGATGCTGGGGACCGTCTATTCCACCATCTTGTCCAGAATTCTTCTTCTAATAATTATAATATCTAAAATCTACTGAGTGCCTACTATGTACTAAGCACTTTATTAAAGACTTTGTATCTGCCATTTAGTATTCACTATGAAATCTCTTATTTCATTTTTTAAAAGATGACCGGTAAGGGGATCTCAATGCTTGGCTTGGTGTTGTCAGCACCACGCTCAACCAGTGAGCAAACCGGCCATCCCTATATAGGATCCGAACCCGTGGCCTTGGTGTTATCAGCACCGCACTCTACCAAGTGAGCCACAGGCCGGCCTCATGATATCATCTTGACCAGTACTTACCCAGGTCCCTATCAACTCCCCGTGTGCAGAATGTTTTGTGGCACAACTCTAGGGGTGTCATTCTCATTGAGTTTGCCAGGACATTCCTGGAATGACATCAGAACTCTCCCAGTCAGAGGGTCTGGGGCTGTCTGCCTGGATCTCTTCTGCTTCAGCCACCAGCAGTCCTGGAATGACCCACAACTCTCAGTACTACCCAAGCTACAAAATGTGGCTGTGAGCACTGGGCCTTGAGAGATATAGTACATTTTCTGGCATTGGTCCCAAGCCCTCCGTGGGGCTCTGTGGGCCTCACCGGCTAGCAGTGAGCATTGTCTTAAGGGAGATGGTGATCCATGGGGCCCAGGACATTTGGAAGGGGGGCAGCTGTTGAAGATATCATTGTAAGAAAGTGGGGTGGGACTCTGATGCCAAAGGCAGCTTTCTCAGGCTGTTGGTTTCTTCCAGGAAGCCCCACCCCTACTCCATTGCCTGCTGCTTGGACAACACTCAAAACCCACCTTTCTTGGTCTTTAGAAGAGAGAGGCAGGGAATTGGGTTCAGATAAGGATGTAGAAAGGTGGGATCTAGAGATGCCCTGGGCAAGAGCCCCCAGGACAGGAGGCTGCAGGAAGGAGGGGCAAGCAGGAAGCTCCCTCACTATTCTCTGGGGAACAAGCCATGGCCCTGAATGGCTAGGGAGCTGGAGAACAGGAAGATTTGAGGATGTAGATCCATGCGCTTTTCTTTAAAATGGACCTGCTGGAAGAAGGAGACACAGGAGGCTTCCAGGCCCCAGACTGGAGATGACAAAGACCTGAATTAAGCTGGAAGGAAATAAAGTGCCCTGCAAGGGGTTGGGGGGTAGAAGGGCGTGGGGCAGACAGAGCGTAGGGGCTTGGAAGAGAGCATGTTTGTGGAGGAAGTTAGGGTGCTTGCCATGTGCACTGTGATCCTGGACAGAGGGGCTTTATAAGAGGTGCCTGTATGTACCCCCAGACTTCATCCCTGACTACTTGTCCCAGCTCTTCTGTGACCTCTGAACTTTGACCCTAGCCTTGGCACCCGGGGCTCATAAGCATTTCTTAGCATCTCAGAATCCCAGAGGTTTTCAGCAGGAATCCTAACCTGTTCCATCCCTCACTCATCTCTCATCTTTGGGGGCACCTCCCATTCTTTGGTTTTGTTGGATGTTTTGGCTTGCTTTTGTTTTTACATGGTCTGGCCCTGTCATCTCCAACCCTGAGAAAGGGTCTCCTGAACCCCCAAGAAGGCGAGGCTGTACCAGGACCCCAGAGGCTCCCTTCTGGCCTCCTGAACCTGCCCTGTACTGGTCTCCCCAGGACCCTCACAGCCCCAGTGAGGTCTGAGCCTGGTGCCTGGGTCGGCAGCCCACACCAGAGCCCTGACTGAGCTGCTCACTCTGGTGCTGTCTCCCTGTTGTGTCTCCCACCACCTTCCCTGCTGCACCTGCCCCACCCCGCCCCGCCCCGGAGTCATGCCCTCTAGCCCCCCGCTGGCGGCTGCCTCCTCCATGTCCCTGCCGGCCGCCGCCCCCACCACCAGCGTCTTCTCCTTCTCGCCTGTCAACATGATCTCTGCCGTCAAACAGAGGAGCGCCTTTGCTCCCGTGCTGCGCCCACCCAGCTCCCCGCCCCAGGCCTGCCCCAGAGCCCATGGAGACGGGCTTCCAGGTGAGTGATCCACACTGCTTCATTGTGGCCGGAGGGTAGGTCCCTGGTGGAGCATTGGGCTTGAGGGGCCCACTCCATTCGCATCTCACCATTACCTCAAGCCAGTTGGCCAGTTCTCCCTGGAGGGTGTGAGCGGGAAGCTCTGCAAGGGCCCAAGGAGGCCCATTTGGACCCCACTCCACTGGGCCTCACAGCTTGGGGTGGTCACTACTCCGGATTCTATCAACTGGCTACTTGGCCAAGAGGAAGGGACTCAGATCCCAGATGGAGAAGGTCTGGAAACTACCCCAACTCCCCACCGCCATCCAGTTGAGCCAAGAGCAAAGACCCAACCCTGAAGCTGGAAGAGCCCCATGTGTCTGCATGCCTTTGCCCTTTGCCTCCCTGTGTCTGCCAGAGGGTAGCACACACCTCTTTGGGACACTGGGTCACTCACTGGGTGGAAGGGGACTAACCTCAGATAAGGTTTAGTCTTCTCCTACCCTATTTTACAGATAAGGAATTGAGACTAAGTCACACCTCCCTTGTCCAATTAATGAAATAGTTGTTCTCTCACTTTACACACATGCAGCAGAACCTGTTAGACAGCAGAACTTTCCCCATGCACGTGGTCATTAGAAACTCACCAGCAGACAGAGGGAGAGACTGGCTGTGGGAAAGGAGGAGATGACAGTGTCTAGGGTAGAGCCGGTCCCAATTGACAGGGATAGTTGGGGACAGAGCTGGATGAGGGTGTCTTCCCCAAGAGGCTTATAGGTGTTTCCATGTCTGGCTAGGGGGATCTCCTAGGACTCAGTCCAGAGTTAGCCTGGCACACTGTAGGTGCCTAATAAATCATGGTTGAAATGAATGAATAAATAGGTCAGAAGGGTCCCCTTCCAACCCAGAGGCAGGTGGCTGCAGTGTAGTGTGCTGGGCACAGAGCTGAAAGGGTTTGGGATAGAGCCAGGGTAGAGCGTGTCCTGTTGGATACTCCCCAAGACAGTAACACGTATTCATTAGAAAAGACTCAGTGTTCAAATTAGGTAAATGGGTATGTTATTGAAGAATTCATCAGGGCCTTTAATGTGCTAGGGTGCATTATGAATCTTCTAGGGAGGAGAAGATGCAAATTTATTCAAGCACAGAATGTATTTTTCAAAAAACATCTTGAGATTAGTTCTCAAGGAATGCCCTTGAGTAGAGGATGTGGGGACTGGTCAGACTGGGATTCCTGTGGGTGCTTTGTGCTCCAGGGTCCCTGTATGACAAAGTTTGGGGACACTGGAGGGAGAGTGGAGCAAGCCTGGGACCTGGGAGACCAAATGAGGGTGACAAATGTATGCAGCAGCCAGAGAATTCACTGGATCACCCTGAAGAACCGACTGCACTAGGTGGCGGTGGACAGAGCAAGCCAGTGCAGTCCAGAAACTTTCGGGCACTCTGCTTAGCCCTGCTGTGTGGGCAGAGTGGGACCACTCCACACGAGAACTGCTCCTCTGGCCAGTACAGGCCGACCTGTGATGGTGATTCAAGTAATAACAGAATCTGTGCCAGGCAGAGAGGGGGGCAAGGGAGCTGGTTGGTGACCCATCCCGAGGGTGGGCCATCATCAGAGAAGGCCTTGCCCAAGCAGGGTTTGAAGAACGAAGTTGAGTGATGGTGATTCAAGTAATAACAGAATCTGTGCCAGGCAGAGAGGGGGGCAAGGGAGCTGGCTGGTGACCCATCCCGAGGGTGGGCCATCATCAGAGAAGGCCTTGCCCAAGCAGGGTTTGAAGAACGAAGTTGGGTTTTCTAGAGCAGGAGCAATGCCCTGAATAGAGGATACCTCCGGATGAAGGTGAGTGGGTGGGAAGGTAGGGCTGTTAGGGCCCACATTCAAAACAATAAAAGCATAACTCGTACAAGTAAATGTTAAAGGAAGGTGAGTGGGTGGGAAGGTAGGGCTGTTAGGGCCCACATTCAAAACAATAAAAGCATAATTTGTACAAGTAAATGTTAAAGATTTATTTAATTCATTCATGAGGGAGCTAACGAGATGACGAGTGGCTTAAAGGAGAGTGTGAGAGACTGAAGCCAGTGAAATAAAGAGGCTGAAATAAGATTGCCAGGTGTGAACTGCTTCTACAGGGCAGTAAGCCTGTCACCTTCCTTTGGGGATTACCTTTCCTACCAGTTAGAAGTTGTCTGCCATTTATCAGTCTCCTCCACGTTAACATCCACCCTAACAACGCCTGGCCCTAACCAGTAATGCACAGCAAGTAAATAAAAAGTTAGATCCACCAGAATAAGACAACTCTTAAGGTGGGCTTATTAGATAATGTTCTAGGGTGACTTTGAACGGATATAGTCATTTTTTTGCCTTATTTGCAAGTTTTGGATAATTTGTCTTAAGCTAGGTGTGTCTGGAACTTAAAATGTGAGGGATGGGGAGACAGGGGCCCACCGATTTCTCCTGCTAGCGAGGAGAACCATGGCAGGGGTCAGGGAGGGGCGGAGCTGGTGAAGTGCTGAGTTTCACGGATGTGGGAGGTAGACGGGATGCTGTTGCTGGACCTCAGTACTCCCAGAGGCTGGCCTCTTTCCTTTTCTGTCCTGGTACTTGGCCATCTGATTTCTCGCCTTGAGACAGCTCCTCTGAAGGAGGCAGGCCTGGGAAGCAGAACCCACAGTCATCTCTATCTTGAGGAAGCTAGGGGAGCAAGGACTGGGGCTTGACCTCCTTTGAGGTCTGGGGGACACCCCTCACCTGTCCATCTGCAGTGCTGACCCCAGCCAGGGCTGGGGTGGCTGGGTGCCTTCAGAAAGTGCCGCATACCCTGACTGCTTTCTCCAGCCCAGAGAGGGCCAGGCAGGTAGGGTCTCCAGGCTGCATATGGCTTATAACTCTTTTATCCCTGATTACTGCAGACCAGCCTTTTGAGGATTCTGACAAATTCCACTCTCCAGCCCGGGGGCTTCAGGGCCTGGCATACTCCTAACTACGGTAGGTCTCTGGCTGGGTCTTGCCTCTTCCCCTAGCCCTGGGATGGGCTCTCTCTCCAAAAGGCCTTCGCAAGGATAGGGAGCTGGGGTCCTGGTCTCCCTCCCCAGGGTCCATCTAAACAGCTCTCAGAGCCACATAGTCCACCCCAAGCTGACCAAGTGGAGAGAAGTGGCTTCCTGTCCCCTTCCAGCCAGCCTTCTCTCCCTGTCTCTCCTGACCAGGTCTGCAGGTGTTGCCCCCGCTGAGCCTGGCCTGGAGGTCCCTCCAGGACTCACACCCATGCCCTGGATGACGGCACAGACAGATGCAGGGCTAGGGCTGCAGACCTCAACCCATGGGCCGAACAGGGAGAGACCTCCCTCCCCATGCTCAAGGCCCCCCAGCCCCACAGGCTCTTCTCACCTCCAATTTTCTGGGCTGGCCGAAAGCCCCAGCACTGTGCTGATGCTCTTGGCAGGAGAGCATCCTGGGGAGGTGCTGGGATGCCAGGCCTCACTTGCTGGGTCGGCTCCTCTGGAAGAGATGGATCATGTGCAGACTGGGGATGTCGGGTGAGGGGAGCATGGGATGGGGACCATGGGAGAAAGGACAGCTCAGGGAGAATTGACCTGGAAAGGTCCTGTTTGCATCTGACCCATCTCAACTGGCCCAGCATCCCAACTTTTCTCCAGTGCGAGGGGTGGTGCCCAGCAGCCTCAGGAGGCCTGCCCAGGCTCCCATGGAGCTTCCAGCAGTTGCTTGACCCCGCGGCTGCCCCCACGTCCTTTGAGGACCCCATGCTTGCCACATCATGCCTCCCTGTGGGGGCTTTGGGCATGGAGGAAGCAGAAGAGGGGTTGCTAGGCCTCCTGAATTTGGGGTCTTCCCCTCAGTGGATGTCTCATGGACTCTGGCCCTACCCACACATGGACTCTGGCTGGCCCCATGGAATGGCCCAACTGACCCCAAGTGGCCTCAAACTCTGTTCTGCTACGTTTGGAGAAAACAGGACAATAAACCAGATGCAGGTGTCCAACTGGCCTCTCTTGCCTGCTTCCTTGGTGTGGTCTGCATTTCTCAGCCACTCTGCAGACCACATGGGACCCCTCCAAACCATGCCCTGGGGCAGCCTTCTGGTACCTTGGGCTTATTCAATAGCCCCAGAGTTCAACTAAGCTGTGTTCTCTGCCCTGTGTCTGCTCTTGGGTACTGTGAGGGGGCGAGGGAGAGCAGGCTAGCAGGCCTGAGGCCCCAGGAGATGGGCTCTGCCCCGAGAGCTCTGGCTAGGAACACAGTTTGGCCACTGAGGACCTGGTCCCCCAGCTGTCTGGCCAGAACTGTGGTGAGAGTTGTCAGAAGGACATCGCTGGGAACCAAGACAGAGCAAACCAAACACTACCCAGATATACAGAGGCCCAGAAGTGAGATCCAGTCCTGAACAGAGGCTGCAGGGACCCTTCTCTGCTGGGTGAGGCAGCTTGTGGCTCCTAGGGCTGCCTGAGCCACACCCCAACCCCCATCCCTCCTCCCCAGGCCTAGGTTCCTTCTGCCTCGCCTGCCTCAGTGATTGAGAGGAGGGGTGGTAAAGCGGCAAGTCTCCTAGGCCCACTCACTCACCCACCCACCCCTTCCCCCAGGATGAATCCCAATTGTCCCCTGAGACATCCCCTAGACAAAGGTCTGGCTGTCTGACCCTGAAAGCCACATTTTTAGACCCACTATCCAGTGAGCCTGGGGCCCAGCCCCAGGCCTCAGGCTTCCCCTTTCTCCTCCTGGAAGTGCTTCTTGGCTGTGGCCTCTGGAAATCCTGCCCCTTCCAATCCATGAGCCCTGCAGCCTTCTGGACAAACACACTTGCCAAGGCAGACGGGCTAGTCCTGTCCTCCAGAGGCCTTCACTTCTTTCTCTGGTGTTCTCAGCCAGCACCTGGGAATTATCTCACTTAGGACCCATGACAGGGAGTCATCCTACCTTCTGGTCATCCTGCCCTGTTCTCAGTGCTCATCTGGCCTCCCCCTCAGTTCCCACTTGTAGCCTGTGTTACAGAGCACTGAAGCCTGCCCAAGCCTGCTCTGTTCAGTTCTGAGCAGTTCCCACTGCCCAGGGCCCTCCCTGGCTGAGCCCCTGCAGAACTCTAATTTGTACTGGACACAGGTGATAATGGGATGGGTCAGGTGCCATGATCGAAACAAATGAGACATGATATCTATCCTCACTGATCCCACAACACTGCCCAGGTCACCATTTGAGTCAACACTGCCCTCTCCCTCATCCACAGCAGACACAGTTAATCAATTATGATATTTGCTGTGCACTGGATTGTGTGTCCTCAAAATCCATATTTTGAAGCCCTAACCTCCCATGTAACTGTTTTGGAGACAGGGCCTTTAAGGAGATGATTAAGGTTGAAAGAGGTTATAAGAGTGGAGTCCTGATCCAATAAAACTAGTGCCCTTATGAGAAGAGGAAGAGACACCAGAGTTCTCTCTCCATTATGTAGCGCACAGCAAGAAGGTAGCTGTCTGCAAGCCAGGAAGGGAGTCCTCACTAGGAACCAGATCAACTGGCACCTTGATCTGGGACGTCTAGCCTCCAGGACTGTGAGAAAATAAATATCCGTTGTTTAAGCTACTCAGCCTATGGGTTTTTGTTATGGTAGCCTAAGCTGAGTAACACAATATCCTTTCCCACATGTCTTAGTTTTTGGTTCCCCTAAAAGCAGAACCTGAGATAAGTTCCCTGCTGGAGAACTCTGGGAGACAGTGTAGAACAAACCTCAGAGTTTTCCCACCAAAGGAGCAAAGGATCCAGGATATTGATCTTCCATCCCTCATCTGTCATTGGCTGCAGGTTGCTCCCAGGAAATTAACCCTCTGGCACTTCTGGCCTGCCCGCCTGGACAGAGAAAAAACACTAATTAGGCTTTTGTTCTAGGATGTTGTGAGCAAATACTGGAACAGTGAGTCCTAGGGGATGTGGTCAGGACACCAACAGCCTCTTCTATGCCACAGAACCACCAGGATCACAGGATCATTTTCAACACAGCCACTGATCAGAGTTGTCACTTGAAATGAAAACTATTAGCCAAATATGGTAAATATCACAATAACAGATTTCTTGGCCTCTTTGTAGTCAGTGAATCAGTGAGGAGTGAGTCAAACAGGACCATGAGTCATGGATCAGTACAAGATCAGCCCACCAGCAGGCCTGGGCCTGTATCTGGGTCTGTAGCACCTCCAACAAAGCAACTGAGCATTTTCTGGGCCTCACAGAGAGCACACCTCCCTGGGCTTCCCACATTCTTTAGTCAAAAAGGGTTTCATTCTCAATAGCTCCAGCAATCTGGAGTCTGAGTATGACATTAAGCCAAGTGGCAGGAGCTGGTCTCAGTCTTACATAAATCTGCAGAGGAGATCCACTGCCCTGTAAATGCTATCAGATAACCAGGGCTTAATTTAGCTATAGTCCTGAGACTTTGTGCACAAGATAGAATTGATTGGTTCATTGACACTGGCCTCTACCGGTGCTGGACATCCCACCCCAGAGTTGGAAATCCTCATCTTGGCTCCAGTGCCTGTGCAAATATGGGTCAGGGTGGCATCATTCACCTGCAAAGGAGGTTGTCTTAGTTTGGGTTCCCACACGAGCGTACCTTAACACAAAGAGTTGAGTTCAGATGGAGGCAATCCCAGGAAGCACCAATCAGGGAGCAGAGAAAGGAGGCAGGGGAGGGAAGGAAATCCAACACAGAGTGTACTACTGAGCAAGTTACTTCTGTGGTTTTCGGGAGCTTAATCCTACCAGGGAACTCTGAAAGACTATAAAATTCATGCCTCAGGGATTTTCCACCTGAGGGATGAGGGAGTTGGAGTATTTATACACCAACTCCCATCAGTCAGTGGCTGAGGGTTTATGGGTAGAGCTGGAGGGAAGCACTAACCTCCTAGCACATCCAGTCTGCCCAGTGGGTGGTAAAACAGTTCCAATAGCTAGGGAAAGCACTCAGGTGAGAAGATGCAGCTGCGGGCAGTTGGAGTCAGGTGTACACTGAAGAGGTAAAGAGGGAGGGACGTGGGTGGGCACACAGTGTCAGCGCTGGAGACGGTCCCTGGCAGTCATCCAGAGGAAATTGGTTTTCTCTGCTTGAAGTAAGTTTAGAGTGGGCATGAACTTCCCTTTATCTGGAGGTCCCACCTCTCCTGGGACCAGCTGGCAGAAACTCTGCCCAGGCTGTTTCTAGTTGAGGTATCAAGATGCCAGATAACAAAGGGATCCTTCTCAGTGTCAGCCGACCCTGGGCTTTTTTCCACAGGGCCAATGGAGGTGGGAGTAGTCAGACACTTGACCACTCGCCCTTCAGAGAGATAGCATCTCCAGGAAATCTCTGCTTTCCTCTTGCATATGTTTCCCAGAGAACCAGTCTGCTGCGTTCTGCATCCAACCTTGGGGACCAGGCAGCCTTTGTGGCTGCATTTAGCTCAGACAGGACCCACCATGGACAGGTCTCACTAGCTCAAGGAAAGCAAGGCAGCAGCTTCCTGCTGACTATTCTGCAAAACATACTTCTCCCTATGCCCCACCCATATTGGTGGGGGCTCTTAGTTTCTTCCAAAAATTTTTTTTTAATCTCCTAGAAAAATGGAAACTGCCATGCAGTGGGGGAAAAAATGGTATTTTCAATAAATGGTGTTGGGCCAATTGCATATTTGTAAGAAAAAAGTAAACTTGACCTCTACCTCACATTCTACACAAAAATCAGTTCCAGGTGGATTATGGATAAAATGTGAAACTAAAACAACAAAGCTATATGCCCTTGAAAATAGACTAACCTTTTGCCAGAGTGACCTCCAATGTCTACTCCCCACCTACATGGCCACCTTTAGAGAGAGGCAGGCATTGGATATGTTTGAGATGGTTCAAATGGATCCCAAAGTCTCTTCTCGAAGGTAACTTTTCAAAAAGTTCACAGTTTAGTGTTTTTCTTGCCAAGAAGAGACAGGCTGTCTACCCTAAGTGAATCACTGTGCACTATATGCTGTATTCAAACAACACAACTGCGCATTGTCAAATATGTACAAGTAAATGTTAAAAAAATTTTTTAAGTTTTCTTGTTTTTAGCTTTGCTATTCAGATCCACAGTCCAACTAGAATGGCTTTTGTGTATGGTGTAAGTTAGGGGTCAAATTTAATTTTATTCATATGGATAGCCAGCTGGCCAGCACCTTTAATTGAAATGATCATCTTTTCACCCAATTCACTGCAGTGGAAACTTTCTCATAAATCAAGTGTCCATATATGTATGGGTCTGTTCTAAATGCTCTATTCTGATCCATTGTTTTTTTTTTTGGGGGGGGGGTTTGTTTGTTTTGTTTTTTTGTCTATCCTTATACCAATACCACATTATCTTAATTACTTTAGATTTATAATAAGTTTTGGTATCCAGTACAAGTGTTCTAACTTAGTTCTGTTGCTGAGCCCAAGTCTGGCTGCCTGCTGCCAAACAGAAACAAAAGACTGGAAAGTCAAATGGCGAAAAGGGAAGGCAGCTTGATTCAGGACCAGTAACCTGGAGGGGATGGTAGGCTAATCCACCTCCAAAGCTCAGATTTACCAAGGGGACTTTAAGGGGGGAAGTGTAGGGATTGGAATGTGGAGGGAGTTAGCTTCTTTCCAAAGCTCTAGTTGACAGTTTCTGTTATCTCATAGCTGGGCCTGTGATTCCTTGTCGGTGCCCAAGGTCATCTTCCAGACATCTGGTTTTGATCACTTCTCAGAACTCTGCAAGCCTCAAAGAAGAAATGTTAGTTTTGCGAGGTACTGATTAGCTTTCAAGAGCCTTGTTTCGCTACTTAGCAAACAAGAGATGGGAAGAAAGAAAGGAGAAAAAAAAAAACTGTTTTAAATTTTTTCTAATGCCCAGGTGGTTTTTAGGTCTCACATGGCTTCAGTCCTGCTCACTGCAACAGGTCTCCTTGATTATCTTAGTTGGTCCTTTACATTTCCACATAAATTTTATAATCAGCTTATTAATTTCTATTTT